CTTAAACTTGAAATGGCTATAACTCCCTTGTTTTTCAACCAAACTGGATGGGATTTAGAATATAGATAGATATAAGGGACTTCTACAAGAAGGTATGGTCATCATGCACGTGCAAGCACGTGCGTGCATTTGGAATGAGTGAAATGAAAAATGCCCTTGAAAGAGTGATTTTTCTTACTTTTGGACTGAATGCTTTGATATATTGTATAGTAAAATATGTAGATAGTGTAGACAAGATGATATGATCATAACGCACATGCATTCACATGCGCACGGGTGCAATGCTAAAATTTTGATATAATGGTATGCTTCTGAGAAAACGTTGTTAAAGTCAAAAATGCACAGACTTTAATGAAGCTTACAGGGAATATGGCACCAAAAAGGAGTTGGGGAGCGTTTGGAGAACATCTGTAACGGTTCCCGTTACAATTAGCACTAGTTTTAAATAATTTATAAAGGAATAGAAAGGTGAGAAATCTGACCAATTTGTCTCTTTTTATAATTATGGTCAAAATAGAGACGCATAAAGGAATAGTTATAATAGCCAACTTTATATTAAGACATTAAAATACCTTACCGAGAAGCAATTCTTCTTTTAAGAGAACACGCTATTGCAAGAGCTACAGCAAAAATGATTCCAGCGATGGCTGCAAGTGATGATCCAATGACGAAATACGTACTGTATATTCCAAAACTTTCTTCGTTAGTGTGTTGTGAGGATGTGTTTCCTATGAAAAAATTATAAAATGGTAAATCATAATTATTGCAAAGTAAAAGGAATATTTCAGAAATTTGTTTGAGATATTTTATAAGTGTTATTTTAGTTTTAAGTATTATTTTTCTCAAACAATTTTTTTTTCAGTACAAGTGTTGGCATTATAAAATATTAAAACAAAGATTCACACTGCTTTACTAAAAGCCGAGGGAAATAATTCTGGTCAAGGGTAACTAGGATTTTGCTTACCCCCTTAATGATACACTTTTTAACCGTTTTATTTTAATAATATTTATCGATATAAAGCAAAAAATAGAGAATTACGAATGACGGGAAATAAGCTTTCGGCGCTGGGATTAGGTCACTTAACTAACGCACGGGAATTAGCCTAATAACATACTAAACCTTCACAAAAATAAAATCTATATGATTACTGATAACTGGGTATTAGCTTCCAAAGCAGGGATTCAAAGATTCATAGACATTTTTAAGGAATTATTCACATTTTACTATCTAATTTTTATATAGGGAAAAATTAGTGGAGCTATGAAAGTTGTCTTTAACAATCCTTACAAATTAGAATTTTGTTTATTTTTTCATGAACTGATAAGCATGAATATCTACATTTTGTTCAGTCATCATACGGTTTTGCCTTAAAAATGACAGTTGAATATGGCAAAATCAGTGGTAACTCATCAGAGAATAATGTAAATATGAGAAATAAATTTAATTTTCGAAGATTCATGAGATACATGAACTACAACGCTTCACGCTTAGTCGCTTCATGGAATATGCCGGCGTGAAGCGTCGTAGATGAACTACGACGCTTCACTCCTAACGAATCTTCAAAAATTAAATTTATTTATTAAATTTTAAAAAATACGGATATTCAATGAAGACAAAGTTTGATTTATTTTGTCCATGGTGTATTATAGAGCTTACAAGTAATAAGCGTGAACGGGGGAAATTAGTTTGAACTGTCATGTCTTCAAAGTTGAAGTAAGATTCACAAAAATGAATATTTCGTAAATATAATTCTGGTTTAGTGCATTTTAAAAGTGAAATTTTATATATTCTACTTAATTTGCATAGCCAAGGGTTCTATCCCTATACACCTAAGTGAAGTTACAGACTAAAATTTGTTTCCAACTTAATAGAAGTTTTATAGGGTACAGTACCGACCAGACCCAACCTGACACCAAAGAAGTCCCAGAAAGCAGTCCCCGGGACTGCTTTGGGACTGCTCTGGGACCGCTGTGGGACTGCTCTGGGACCGCTATGGGACTGCTCTGGGACTGCCATGGGACTGCTCTGGGACTGCTATGAAAAGCAGTCCTAGCTGCGCCTGGGACTGCTTTCTGGGACTGCTTTGTTCACTCATGTGTGAAAAGGGTTCTGAGTGACATGATAGCTCCGCCCCCTTGTGTTTTCTGAATTTGCAGGCTCTCTGTTGTTTTGTTAACTTGCAGCAGAGAGGAGTTTAAACTGTTTACACTCTAAAAAAAGTTTTACTTGTTGTTTTTAAAATAAGATATTAGATTGAGAAAAACTAGTAATTATTAGTAATCCATTTAGTCAGAATAGCAAGTAAATGACTATCATGGTTAGTAATTGTAAACATAATTAGTAATAAGGATGAATTCATTTACTTATAAAATGATTTACTAAGTATCAATAGAGTTACTTAAATTATAGGAATTGTATTACTTTAAGTTAGTAAATGAACTACTCATTTTTGTTAAATTATTATTACTTAATTAAGAGATAACATGCTTTCTATTTACTAAATTTTATGAATTATTACTAAGAAAATGTAATACTGACATTTATTAAAATCTAGAATATTATTACTTAAAAGAATACTAAGTAAATGAAATACTTATCATATTTACTAAAATCGACATTATTTACTAGAAACACTGCAAGGTACCCACCCTCTGACATGTGAGTACTACTCACAGATTTCTTTATCAGAGTTCCCTAATTGGGCCCTCTGAATGGTTAAATAGAAGAAATCTACTTATGATGGAAACAATTATACTTTCCATTTCTTTTGCCAATTTCTTTGTAACTGTTTTATTATATATAACAATAAAACATTTGATTCCAACTTCGAAAGCCTTAAAATTGAATAAGTTGTATTTTTTTAAGGACCATTTTAAAAATGGTTAAACATTTCAAGTACTTAATATCGCATTTTTATTAGTGTGACTTTTTTTTCACATGAAGGTATATTTAGATGAAAGATAACTCCTCCTCACAGACAATTAGTGATAAGACTACCATATTTAAGTAATTACTGATCTGAATTCTCCTTGATTTAGTAAATAAATTTTTGTTTTAAGTAAATCAATTAAATACAATTCAAACATGCAAGATGTGTTTGTGAAACACCTATGCCACTGTATGGCAACATAGCAAAGGTTAAACTTTTCTTAAATGCAAATTTAATTATTGGGATTTCTTGATATCTCCAAGGTCAAAAGGTCAAGGTTATTGGTATCTAATGAAAGGTCTTGCTACAAAAAAATACATATGTGAAATATGGAAACACTTGCCTCAACCCTTCAGAAGTTATGGTCAAGGTTACCAATTTTGAAATGTAGGTCAAACTCCAAGGTCAAGGACAAAGGGACAGAGTTGGTGGTACCCAAAGAAAGGTCTTGTCACAAGGATGAACTATGTTAAGTATGAATGCACTAACCCTAATCCTTTTAAAGTTACAGTCAAGGTTTGCTTTTTAAAAGTGGGTCAAACTCCAAGGTCAAGGTCAAAGTTCTTGGTATCCTATAAATGGTCTTCTTAAAATGATTACATATATGTAAGTATGAAAGCACTTTTCCTTACCGTTAAAAAGTTATGGCCAAGGTTAAAGTTTTTTCCCAAGGATGGAAATCTCCAGGGTCAAGGTCAAAATTTCATAGTTGTTGGTATTCAATGAAAGTTGTTTCAACAAAAAATATATATGTGAAGTATAAATGTCCTGGTATTTACTGTTAAAAAGATTTGGATAAAGAATAAGTTTGAATTTTTTGTGTATAAGGTCTTGTCACAAGGAATACAAGTGTGAAATATGAAAGTTATAGCTCCGCTAAATCAAAAAGTTATGGGCAAGGTTAAAGTTTCTGCGGATAAACAGAGAATCAGAGAGACAGCTAGACAGACAGACGGAAACGACAAAAACTATATACCCCCGAAACTTCGTTTACGGGGGCATTAAAATATTAATTATATAGTAAATAGTGGTAAAATGTAAGTATTAAAGACCAAGTAAAGTTATTACTTATATACACAAATTTAAGTAAATATAAATTACTAAGTAAAACTTTTTAGTGTGTAAGTAAAACAATTTTTTAAAATACAAAAATCAAGTAAAACATTTGAATCTAGTAATTGACATATATTTCAGTAATTGATTTTAAATTTTAAGTAAATGCTTAGTAATTATCTATTACTTATCTTTGTTATTTCAAGTAAAAAATGACTACTAAGTAAAACTTTTTTAAGAGTGTAATAAGCAAGGATTTCTTACATTCTTTTAATAAGTAGCTATAGAGATTATTATAGTTAATTGATATTTTCAGGGATTGTATATTTACACAAATTAATGTGTGTTTAGAATAAATTAAAAAAAAAAATAAAGTTGATAAATAAGGAATTCATGAGAAAATTTTTATCCCTAAAAATAAACTACAAGTTTATGAGAAAAAAATAGTTTCGTGTGGGCCTTTTTTAATTATTTAATGTTAAATTATAATATGTACTTCAAATTTGCATTGGTACTATTTAAAAATAATCATTACAGTTAGATATAACTTTTTTTAAATTAAAAATGCTACACATTTTATAAAGACGACGCTAATAAAAGGGCATTCCATGTAGCCCTCAAATAAAACCAAACAATTTATTAAATGCCCATGAAATAAAATTATGCTACTATTCTCCCGTAACATAAACTATGTGAATGATCATTGGGGAATTAATGAATTACAGTGTACAGTGTATATTTATTAAAAAAATGAAAATACCGGAAATTGTGATTTATTTCTTTTTTGTTTTGCTAGTGTTAACCTGGCCGATTAATGTTTATAAGATGGTATCAACACCCATTGTTTCAATCGCCTTTGGGCAGAAAAGTCGATACATGTTATTTGGGTATTCGTATCAGTGTTACACATCATTGAACATGCTGGTAAACAATGACCCTATAATTTCAATTTATTTAATGCGAAAAAAAAATGTGATAAATGAAATGTGTATAAATTTCTTTCGGGATTAATTAATTTTGAACATAATCTGAAGCTTTCATTCTGGTGATTTACAGATGTACACTCTAACATTTACAAGTAAAACACTTAAAACTGAGTTTTATAGAACTAGGCATTAACGATAATTAAATTGACATGTCAGTAAAAATAATCATGACTGAAAAATAATACTTGGCAAAATTAACAAAGAATTTTTTAAAAGCCCCAATACTTAAAAAAACTCTAACTTTAGAGTATCCCGATAGTCTAAATTGGCCATATAATGATAAGATCTATTTAAAGCTTCTTCTGGTGGAAAATATTTATAAATAATTCACTTTTAATTTTCTGTATAAAAAATAAACATGGAAACCAGTATTAATCACACAGAGGAATTATTAACATACCCAAGAATTGTGTTTAAATATTCATGTTCAGTGTAATTCATATATGTACATATAAGTGTGAAAGCCTTTTTCCTCCAATAACTATTATTAATAATTATTTCAATTTTTATGCGCGTTCATGTTCTGTTCATAAATGACCTTCGTGTACATGTAAGGATTCCTGGCATATTACCCAGAATCAATTTCTACTGCCTTTTATAGTTCCATTGTTTATTGGAAATCTCATTTCTGAGTTAGCTCCGCCCATTAAATTAATAAACCCCGCCAACTGGGACTGCTGGGACTGCTTTCTGGGACTGCTGGGACTGCTCTCTGGGACTGCTGTGGGACCGCTGTGGGACTGCTTTGTGTGAGGTTGGGTCTGGTCGGTACTGTATGTAGTTCTAAAATTGCTTCTTGTTTAGCCATATGGATTTGAATTCTCTGTATTTATATATTTATTTATTACAAAAAGTTGACTTGCACCTCCTTGACACGTGGTTTGATCTGATAATAGATCTACACCGTCCTCACAACCACAGGTTCTTCCATTTGGTGTTGGAAAGCAGAAGGCACTACAATTACCGTTATTGATGGAGCAACTCAAACTCACTAAAAAGGAAAGACTGAATAACTGTATTAATTTATGCCTGCCTTTCAACTGAGCATAGTAAACTGAAAAGTAAACTGTGAAGTCACTTTGAAGGGGGATTTTCTATTTTGTAGGGGTTGGGAGATATCCTCGAATTTATTACTACCCCGTAATGTAAAATTTTATATACATTAGTAATCAACAATTCTCCATCCATTAAGTTAAATCTCCAAAATTCAATATATATTTTTGAAACTCCGAAATTACGACTCCATTAAAAGTGATTTAAAAGTATTTTTAGAAATCATGTATATTTTAACAATGCATTAATACTTACCATCAACTAAATCATCTGTGTATACATCAATACTATCAAGCTCCCCCAGCTCTGGATGGTTTGACATAAATGTCACTTTTGAACCCGTTGCTTTGTTTATCTTTGTTACGCTTCTGCATTTAAAAAAATAGCCATATTTGGTTTGATCTGTTAATAAGCAAAATACTTATTAGAATAAAATAAAAGCAAAAGTGACCTCAAACATTGTTCGTCTGAATAGCATAAACGATGTCATTGGTTTTTGATGAGGATGAATACTGTTTTGATATACATGTGTTTATATTGTAAATCTATTATATCTGTATATTTGAAGTTTATGAAACTTGATAATATAACTTATACTACATGTATGTATCATCCCCTGCGAGACGATTATGAATAATTCATGAATTTCCTTGAATTTTTCATGAATTTTATTCAGGAAATGTTCATGAAGATCCTATGAACTTATTATTGGAAATTTTCAAATCATGAATTTTTATTCATAAAAGAAAATTGATGAATATTCATAAATATTTATTTTCATGAATTAATTTATGAAGAGTCATATTCATGAAGATTCATCATTTCATCATGCCCAATAATAAGTTCATTGGATCTTCATGAGCTGTTCTTGAATAATTTGATGAACTTTTTTTCAGGAATGTTCATGAATGAATAAAATTCATGAACCATTAGCATTCATGAATAATCTTGCTTATTTGTAAACAAAAAATGCAATATTATTATTTATGTTTATTCGTGAAAATGCTTGAAGTCATACTAAAAGCAGTAACAGTAGATGTTTTATAATACAGCATCTTGAAAAATTTCACAGAATTGTTTGTTTTCCAAACGTGGCAACAAAATCTTTGTTAAATAACTTAAAATAGACAATTCTGACATATTAAGCCATAGTAAATGAATAATGTAGTTCATTCCTGGTAAAAGTATAAAAAAAAAATCAATTCAAACGCAACTCTTTGCAGAATGTTTAACCTTACTTGGTCAAGAGGAGAGGGGGGTCCTTCCTCATGATGTTTCAAAGTGTGTTTTAATGCCAGAAATTGAACAGTTTTTAATTCTAGTTTAGGAGAAAAGTTTGTTTGTTCAGCACCAGCTTTAAGGGCTTTCAAGCATTTCGAGCAGATATGGTAAAGTCAAAAATTTTTATTGTCTCTCCATGTGGAATTTCCAGAATTTTAGCATTTTGATCCTTTGATTGAATATCATTCATATTTTCATTTCTTTTTTTTTTCTTTTTCAAGAGCTCAGATTTTTTTGCAGCCAAAGTTTCTTGTCTTCTGCTCATCAACTCATCAACATTTGTGAAGTGCTTCTCTTTTTCCTTCAAGAAGAAAGATTTTCTGAAAATACCAATGATTGTGAAACTTAAGACTTTTTTGTATTTTCTTGCATTTTAGTTTCATTTAATTTTGCATCAGAGGCACTTCCAAATTTAAACATTCTGAGTGGAATTTAAGCCTATCATCTTGGACCGCCATTTGTTAGATCAATCAGGCTTATGAATGTTTTAAGTCTCAGTCTATAATCAATGTATGTTATATGGTTGGATCCCAACTCAAAGCAAAGTTGGACAAAACTTTCATTAAAAAAAGACATATTAATTTATTTTACAAATAGACAGTAACATTTACAGACAGATTTCTGACTCAGTGATTGCCTCCATTTTTTGTCACTTACCAGTTATGAAGTAGATCGATCCTATATATAGTTTTTATTCCTTCTTCATATTCTGTTATTTTCTTAAAAAGCTGACAAATATCAGTGAATATGCAAATTATAGATCACAAATGCCGATCCTTCCACTCTACAAATTCCCGCTTCCAACGTCTCGCGCGTTTTCAAGTTTGCGCCGATTCAAAAATGTACGGTAGAGCTAAGAAATACGTTTAGTTTCGAATTTCCAAGATTTCTGTTTAAAAAAAAAACACTTTCTGAATAATTTTTCACTGAAAATACAATTTTTTATATCAAAATAAGTTTTATCAATGAATAATTCGAATTTTTTACGTCATCAATGATACATGTATTGCATTTTAGTTTCGTATGCATGGCGGCCCCAATTAACAGAGGACATATGACATGATAATAACAATCTCTCGCCCTCAGACTGAATATTCTGAGCTGTGAAGACGCATAGGAGAATTAAAACTACAAAATACGAATGTGGATTATGTCATAGATAATTTACAACCATGCAGTTGTGCTCTATCATTTACACACGAAGCAAGGGAAACTTTTGACATTTTAACTGCACCAAATTAAAAATGTATATAGCGTTTCGATCCAGGAATAATACAGTACAGTAAGGAATAATACGGTACAGTACAGACAAGCGATATAATTTTTTAGTTGTTAATAAATATATAAAACGTTTTTTACGAAGCTCAAAGTTTTTTTTCCAGAATTTTTCATCTTCCAACAAATTGTTTAAAGTTTGATGTTAGAGAAAATTTGTGTGATGTAAAACGACATTATTTAAATCACATTATGATGAATATAACTGTTTAATTTAAATTATGAAGGAACATAAGTAATCAATTTGAAAAAAAAATGCTGTCAATGATGATGCAGTGTTTGTATAATTAAAGTCAAATAAAAACACGAAATGTTTAGAGATTTCATGATTTATTTTTCAGATAGCTGATAAAAGAATGTTATTAAATATAAATTATACCAGGGGCTTGTTCAACAATTGCATCTGCATGCAAAAATTGTATTACGAGAGTAGTGAGTGTTTTTTGTCAATCATTTTTGTCAATTATTTTAATCTTCATGAAAATTCATGAACATTTATAATACCTTGAACTCTACATTTTTTCTGTCTTTAAAATGAAAATTACCCATATTCATATATATTCATCATTTGTTCATGAACTACATTTTATGAATATATTGATGAATAAAGTTGATGAACCATCTTTATGAACCAGTCATGGACCATTCATGAACACATCATGAATGTTCATGAACGATTCATAAAAGTTCCTGAAATTATGAATTTCACCTCGCAGGGGATGTAAGCGCAAAGCAAACGAATAAACAAACAAAACGAAACACTAAAACATATCTTATTAAGATGAATATATATACATGCAGTATTATTATTTTTAAAAATTACAATCACAGACTACACTCATCAAAATAATATCAATGAATGCGAAAATGCTTTTAAACTTTTTTTCTGATTTGAAGGAAAAATTTCCTTTAATGTAAACCTTACTGTCTATTTGACGCTATGTAATAAAGATATTGTCCGAGAACAATGATTCCCATGGGAAATGAGTCTTTATCTGTTGTTAAAACGTTTCTGTTTTCTCCGTTCAAGTCGGAGTACTCTATATGATCTTTGGATGCATCTGTCCAGTAAAGTCTGTTGGCTAAAATGTAAAAGATAGAATTACCGGTTTTAATTTTACTTTTAAAAAGGCTATACTGCCAGAGATGGAATGCTCAACAGACCGTGACAGAATCTATGCATACAATTAAAGTCAATTGCGAGACCAGTTGGAAATCCAATATTTGTTGTTGCTATGTAGGTTTGTGATTTTCCGTCCATATACGATCTGCTTATTTCTTTGCTACTTCCAATTTCCGTCCAGTATAAATATCTACATTATAAAACAAATCGTTTTATGAAAGGATCATACTAGTATTTATATCTCAGATTAATATTTACTGATGATTAAATTTGATTACTAGTATGTGGTTTTATGATTATTTTAGCTATAATGCGATAATAAAAAAGTTGAATTTCAAGCACTTATATGTACCTACCCTTTTGATGGATAAAGAACGATATCTTTTGGTCTGTGCAGGTTGGACAACAACGTCTTAGAACCAAAACTTTTTTTATTTACAACTCCAATAAAACTTTGATTCGGGATAGGGGCTACTGCGGAATAGTATATATTTCCCGTTGAATAGTCAATGGTCAAACGATCAGCATAATCGTGTCCTGTGAATATCAGATTGAATGCAATGACGACAAAAATAAATAATATATGATACATCATGCGGAGTATAAGAAAGATACTAATTTGCAATATTTTTTATATCAGGTTCTAAATACCCGTTGCATAGATCCTTGTTTTATTCTTTCCATGAAGTGTTATTGACATAATAGTCTTTTCCGAGGCACTGGAGTAGATAAGTTCCTTTGTAGACCTATCAAATGCTATTCCTGGAGCATTCTTTATATTGATTGGTAATTTAACAACATTGCCTGTGTTTATATCAATCTGAAGGATCCTTCCATGGGAGTTATCACTCACAATCAAGAAATTCCTCGAATAAACATCTAACAAAATTTAAGAAGTACAATAATGCTTTATGAGCTGCGAGAGTGACATCGGAAAAAAATATTTCAAATTTGTAATTAACTATTTCAATGACAGGAAAATAGAACGTTTATAAACTTCTGTTGTTCATATTTGCTATAAAAGAACTTTTTATAAGCTTTGATTGAAGCAAAATTGAATTATTGTCGTCCTGTACAATAATGATTTCTTATATAATACTGTATAATTGGTTGTACAAAAATAGTTCTTCTGAAACATTTTTAAACTTTATTTTGCTTTTTTTTTATCATAAAGGTTTAGATTACATACAGATTAATCATAATAACACATTTAACCAGCAAAATAAAGTTCTTAAAAATGCAGCTCATATTGCTTTAATCTAGACGTTTTACCTACTGAACGCAATTTGTGAAGGAAATTATACTTCAGATATAAACCTATGTTTGAGTTAAATTATCCGGACGCTTCATTAAACCAGACAATTTGCGTTGGAACACAAGTGTTCAAAGAATTAAAAAGAATTGGCTGTGTCTTTTAAATTCTTTTTTGAAAAGTTAACAACTCTTTGATTAACTACCAAACAATTACCCACCTACCGCTGTCACAAGTTTTCAAATCGGTTTGAAGATGTAGGCCAAAATCACATTCACATTTTCTCCCACTTTGTATCGGCACGCAAATATCTTCACAGTCACCATTCAGGACGTTGCAAACGCCTGTATTGACAATATATTAACATGATAGATATAAAATACATGGTTACTGTCTTGAAATATAAACGATATTTGGGCGAGGGTAAGAAAATGTTATGGTGGGCAAGGCTTGCCGGGCTCTCCATCACGTTTTCGACCTGAACCCAAATATCGCTTTTATTTTAAGACAGTGACCATGTATTTAGTTTATCCTGCAAAATCTATTTACATCTGACCTCCACAAAGAGCTATTTTAAACCCGATTTAGACACATATGTGCAGTGAAAAGTGAGAAGCAAATAGCGTAAACGTTATGTGACGTCACAATGCTTTTATAAAGTTGGAATACGACATTGACGAATAAAGCTTTAGTTTATTAGGTTACCTTTATTTGGTAAATTCAAGGGGCAGTTGCAGGATTAATTTCAAAACGTATCGAATTTTTGAGAAAGAATTGATGCAATTACAGACATTGCTCTTAACGTTTTATATAAAACTCTTTATCATTTATTCTGATATACCGGTATTGACGTATCAAGGCTTTATCTGCCCCAATACTGCAAACAAAATCTTACATGAAATCATTGAAAAGGCAATGTTTGTCATTACCTATATCATTTCTATTTAATACAAGACGCCTCAAGAAAGCAAGTTTGATGTAAATAAAATGTTATTTATTTGATTTGTTTCTAAATCCTTTGCGTTTTCCCCATAATTGAGAATTTTGAAAGAATCCACGACAAAACATTTTTTCCGACAAGGAAATTGAGATAAAGCACTTATCATTAATAACTGGTCTGATTAAGACCAAATTTGCTCATATTTGGTGTAATTTAAAGAGTTTAAAACCTTAATGATAGTAGTAAAGTAACCGTCTAGGGGGTGTGCTTTACAATATATTTATTAACATCCAACATATATACAAACACAATAACAGTGGGTTCTGGCCCGGGTCGACTTCCCGCTCAGCTGCTGTCCCAGACACGTCCTGTCTGCTCGGCATCCAGGTGTAGAAGAGAGGGAGTGCAACTATCCCGCCATCTGACGTAATACAGACAGTAAGTCGTACCACGGGACAGTCGCACAGATACTACACTCCCCCCTGTTTTCTCTAAAAGGCTGGAGTCTACCACAGGAAAGAGGGTCCAGAACCATCTCCATCGTTGGGGCGCTGTTAACGCCCTCCCGGGCTAACTGCCCAAGAATAACAAGTGCCGGAGCAAGCTCCAGTCTAAACCACCACAAGGATTTATACAAATCTAC